GAGTAAATCGCCAGAACGCCGACACCTCCTCATCTCCACCACTCCCATGTTTTATTTTGTGTTGCCATAAGTTAGTCTCTCTGCGTTTCTGCGCTGGGCTAATGCTAATAATGCTAATGCGAGGATAATAAAATGGCGACTTCACAAAACGTTTTGGGAGTTTTACGGGGCGTGGTTTGCAATCCTTCCAGCCAATCAGAAATATAGCTCTTTTCTCACAAAAGAGCCGCTCGAAAGTCCCTGCTCTCTAGCAGGGACTTTCGAGGGGGTAAAAAGGTTCACATGAACTAATTTTAGTACCGGCTGTTTTTGGTGTGAACGCGACAAAAGAGTTCACATGAACTAAGTTCACATGAACCTTTGTGGGAAAAGTACCGCAGTGTGAAAGCGCCTATTGGGCGTGCATTGCAGCAGTACTTCAATGACTCGCCAGCAACAGGCGGCCACTTTCACCAGTCTGCTGACGTCATGTGCGCGTTCATGTGTGTTGGAGGAGGTGCTCTGTAAGGAAGTCTGAAGGAAGGGGCGGATTCTTTTCGGCTGTGTACTTTCAAATTTTAGTGCACTCGAGTCGGTTTCTGAAACTTACCTACCCCACCTTTAAGCTAACAATGAGATAAGCTTAGGTTGTGCTAGCTTATCCTTTAATTTAACAATGAGATAAGCTAACTATATTTGGTATATGATCACATGTAAGCCAGTAAAATGTTATTGCTTGTTCAAACTGTTCAATATTTTTGTCCTCACTTACATTTCATTCCTCTCTTCTGCTGCCAGGCACTTTACATTTTGACTTATGCATTATTGTGCTGCTTACAGGATATATTAATAATGTTTAAGACTCGCTTACATTTGCCAACTGTCCTACAGTCTGCTGGAAAAGCTACATTCCTCTGCCAGCCTCGATTCCAGCCTTTGTGAAGTGCATAATGTAGTTTCCCCATTCTTAACTCCCCTCTACAACAGTGATGATATGCTGTAAGGTGTGAGCATGTAAGGGGGAAGTATTATCTTACCTGCACTACTGGTGTCTAACATCTTGATTTGTTTAAAGTTAGAAAACAAACGATGACGTCCTTGGTTACATTTTCAAGACAAAAAATGCAACAAAAAAAGAGAATAGGGTAGCATTAAACTAATATTCATGAATGTCCCCTTTATAGGTTGACAATGCAACAGAACAGGATTTCTGATTCATGATAAACCTCATTGACCTTGTTCAGAATGTCACCTATGAAGACACACGTTATGTCTATATGTTCTATAAATTAGCTAGATGACAGATGGGGTTAGTTTTGGTTAGGTTAAGGACATATTAATGGAATTTCAGGTAAAAAGGAGAACGGTGCGAAGCATCATGGTTGAAAGCTTTCCCCAAAATAAAATTATAATTACGATTAAACACACAATGAGTCATTATCAGTGGGAGTGAGCACCTGTCCAACTCAATACAGATGATAACTTTAATCCACCAATTAGTTGTCCACCGATCCAAACCATAAAGCAAAGAATAGAAAACATCTAATATTCTGTTTAAGCTTTTTTAAATCACTTGAACGTGGAATGATTGACATTTTCCTGGAGGCTAAAAAGACGTAATTGCAGCGATATTATTCCAGTATTTTGCATTGTGACTTTTATTAGATATCTCTGTTGAACCTTTGCATTTAATAACCACTATAAAATGATGGTAATTATTTGTGCAAGTTAAAAGCTGCTTCAAGGGGAGGGTGGAGGGCAGTTCGGTCAATCATGATTAACCCTCTGGGTCACAAAAAGAGGTCATTAATTATTCAAAACCCCCTTTTAAAAGACATATGTGTTTGAATCAATCCACATGGGAAATAAACTGCTATTAAACAGCACTGTTTATATGGACTGACCTCCATTATATTCCTATGAGATAACCACATCCATTCATCCTTCTGCAGCGTAGAAAAAACATCAAGATCCTCACTGTCTTCATTAAATTCATTTAATTGAGTATCTTTTGACTAAAACATTAGAAGGAAAACTACTGAAATGATCCATTAAAACCCAGAATAAATCAGCAAATTAGCAGAATTTTAGCAGCCACTGTGGTGAGATAGTCATTAGTTTGAGGAAAAACAGCATGTCTCAACCTTGACCCATCCCACCACCATCAACCCCCTCCTCAAACGCCACCAGACGCTCACTGAGTCCCCAAAAGATGCTTAAAGATAAAAGAGAATCGACCCGTCAGCCGTATGTACAGAGACCGGAGATCTGAAAGGAGAAAAACCATGAAAAATGGATGAGAGAAGAAATCCACTTCACCTCCCCCCTGGAGGCTGGCAAACCCCCCACAGCGCTCCCACTCATAATCCCTTCTCCTCCTGCACAAGCGCGCGCGCACACACACGTATGCAAACAGGAATACAAGGTAGGCACGCACCCCCCGAGGCCCTTTGGTGGGTATTAGTATTCAGTGATACTATAGTTTGGCGCTATGTTGGATTCACATCAGCGTTTTATGATAGAATCACAGCTTCTAACAATTGTTTAAAATCATATCTTCAATCTTTTGTTGTTATTTTCCATATTTTCTATTGCTTTTTTAGGCTTTTTATAGTTTCATTTTAAATGCAAAATTTAGAGAGGTTCCTCTGGTGAGTCTCTTACCTCATTCACACCAACGCAACTCCGGTTCAAGCTCCGTGCTAGAGCTTTTCAGGTTCAGAACCAGTTCTTCGGTTTAGCTCTGGCTCTTTTCACACCGCCCAGGGTCCGACTGGTAATGCGTCGTTGCGTCATGACGTAACCGTTTGCGTGCCTGCTTCATAAAGCCAAACCGCGAGGATGAAATCAGTTGCATTCATTTCTTATGGCTCTATCTGCAGCTTTTCCGGAGTCATTTCTGTGGTTTAGTTATATTCTTATAAAAAGTGTACTCGTGTCAATAAAGTTTTTTTAAAAACACAACTGCTTCCTAGGTCGGTCTTATTTCTTAAGGTGGACTGAACCATGAGTGTGGAGTAACGTTGTATCTTTCATTTAAATGAACTGTAACCTTCACCCAGGTATGTAACAGCTGTTCTCAAATGAACACGTGAAGTAAAGATGAATATTTATAGGTTTATAGATTTATAATGAGAGGTGATCAACGTGAATGCTCAGGTTCCACCTTAACACGCAGACACGTTGCTTCATCATGAGCAGAAACCTTTATATATACAGTCTATGGCAGAAACACTGAAACTCTGATACTCTTGTTAAGTTTCTCCATCGTTGTGTACAAACCTATGGTACAAACTGGATAAAACGCGGGCTTTTTGTTGTTGTTCAGGAGTTGATCCGCTGCGGTGTGAAGAGGAAACCCCGGTGCTTTTCAAGCTCCAGCTGCGAACCGGCCCTGAAACACCGTTGGTGTGAATGAGGTATCTGAGGCTTAGGGAGAAGCTTAGCCAATTTCATTAGTCACGGTTTCAATGCTGAGGCTCATATTAGTAAATGATTAAGGTCTACTCTAAATACTTTCACAGAGGCATTTCCACCTTAACACAAAAACGGTTATGACATACGCACTGACTGTTTTTAACTATTTGGCCATGAACAATACAAATATACTTTAAATATAGTTCAGCACAACATATTAGTTAGAACGTGGCCTATATTTACGGCTTAGTATAAACCAGCATGTCACTGAGGCTACACTCAGTGCTAAATGCTAACAGGCTCATGGACAATGCTAACATGCTAGCAGGTGTAATGCTTAATGTTCACCAGCTTAGTGTAGTGTTTGCAAGCTAACATTTGAATGTATAAGACACAGACAATCTAATGTTACATATTTCCATAAAATATGTTAATCCTATTGAAACCATGATGTGTTTTACTCAAAATCAGAAACACTAAATTGCTAACGGTGCAAGATAAACCGTTGTAAGGTTACTTAAGTTGGTTGGACTTATCCTTATAGGAAACACTCATGTTTGTGCACATTTCTTAGCCATCCATCCAGTAGTTGTTGAAACATTTCATGATCTGACTGTGTTAGCAGATTTAGACTTATACCTTTTGTCTCCTGCAGCAGAAAGGTGAATAATCTCAGCAGTTCAAGTTTAGCCATTCATCACGGCGTTATTTATTATAGGCACACATCTCAAGAGACTTGAGGACAGAGAGAGAAGGGGCGTGCCTTCCAACGCTTTTATACCCCAGGTAGTGACATCACAATCATGTGGTACAGCCATATATACAGTCTATGGGTACAGCGCTAACCAATGAACACAGTTAGTAGTCGCAGCTACTTAGACAGTAATACATGGAGTCATACACTATACATGTCTGTATGTTCAACAGACTGACCAACATTACCATCTCTACAGCCACCCCATATAGCATAGCTTTAAAAAACCAACTTGTTAGACACTTAAAGACACACACACACTGCTCCTTCACCACCCGAGGCCCTTTACTAGGTGTGATCCAACTTAAGGCACTCACATGTACTTGTGACAGCGTGTGAAATGTTCCAGTCAAAGCGGCTGCAGTGGCTCGGGCTATCGGCTGCCTCCTTTAAGGCCTATCTGCTGGGCTGGCAGTCGCCTGATGAGAAGGAGACAGAGACATGGAGGGCAGGAGAGGGGGGGTGCTGTCACACACACTGTGATTGGCAGCTTCTCTCTCTTGCTTGTCTTGTGAGAAACTAAGTGAGGGGATTTTAGTGGTGGCATGTTGCATGTCACTGACACCTGAGTGGTGACATTACAGAGAAAATCCAGTTTTTGGACAGACTTGGACTTACTGTCACCAGCCAGAGTTTACAGGCTTCTCATTCAACTCTTCATCATCATATTGAATTGATTGCATTTCTTAAAACTTCAAACAAAAGCTTTATTTATAGAGACAAAACTGATAAACAACAGGTCACAGGAGCTTATGGGGTCAGTGAGCACATGTTAGTCCTTTGGAAGAGTCTTCTGCTAAGGAAGCAATACAAATGTCTGCAGATTAACTTTAGATACAAGGAGGATAATGCACTTTCAATATGAGTCCTAGTCCACCTATATACAAAGTTATGGCACCTATTTCTAATTTGGCACTTTTAAGGTTTAAAATGTGAAGACCAAGAGAGTAACGGGCCAGGTAAAGGAGGCAGAACATAACGTTTTTATAGGTTTAAGACACATTTAACATCTGTGAACAAGAATCTGATCACATGACCACAATGCAGGCAATAGAAATATTTTAAACTAGGACAAGCATGGGCGGAAATGATTACATCTGTGTGTATAGGAGGAAGAAGGGCATATGTATGGTGTATGATCAACATTGTGAATTTGCAATATGATGCAGCAGCAGATGGTAGCAGGATAAAATAAGCATTTAATTTAAAGAAAGGGCAAAACACACAATATATTTGTTGTTGCATTTGCTGCCTATCAAGATACATTCAATATCCAAGAAATTCCTATTGTAAGACATCCTTGCATATCCAATTTGTGTGTGTCTATTTGTCTAATGTTTGACAGTAGAGGGCGCTCTAAACTGCTGCAATGTGTGGGGTTGAATTGAGGAGAAGCCATGGAGAAGCTCCGAGTCTCGTTACTGGAGGAGTGATGTGTTTTAGGTGCAGTTTGACTTTCAGCAGCCATGAATACTGCAGAAACAGATGGGTGCACTGCAAACATGTTTTTGGCAAGAGGGTTGAATAAATTGATATTAATCTTTCGAATCAAAGAAAATTATACATTAGTCTAACGTAAATGTTGTTTAGGGAGCATTATTATGATTAAATACAATTAGATCAAGTGGAAAAATCCATTTGGATGCGAGGTTTAAAATAAAAAACACACTAAGAGGCCTTCAGAACCAATGTTCCGTGTAAACTGTTAATTTAATGTTAGCTGTAATCAAATTATCATAATCAAATCACGTGTCAGTCACCAGATTTCAGTCCACATTGACCTAAAACATTCAGTCTATGTGGGGCTTCTATGAAAGTTTGGTAATAAATTATACTCTAAATAATTGTGTGAAAATGAAGCCTGATATTTTTTTTTATAAAAGCACATTTTTAATTGTCTGGTCTCTTAAATAAATTCAAGATGAGTTCCTAACTTGAAATAATAGCCCTGCTCATCATGACATATTTTCGGGTGCTTTTAATTAAAGTCAACCCCTGCTTTGTTCGCATGCTGTAATGCGGTTTGCCCAAATGAATCTCAATACAAACCCAGCATAATTCAAGTTTTGGGAGGGAGGAAGAGGAGGGTTGGCGGGGGTTATTGTACTCTTATCCGCCCCTTAATCCGGTTGGCTCAGAGACTGCCCGCAGGCCAATTTGTAAGTGGTTTGCGGAACTGCCAATCAAAGCAGATTGCCTCTCCAGGCTGGCTGTGCGGACGAAATCTTTCAGTTGCTGTGTGGAGAGATTTGACGGTGGGACACTCCTGTACATGGACCATCACTGCAATCCGCCTGCGAGAACACACACCCATGTAATGCCTCGGTGAAATTTGGACGTACACGGTGGAGAAAACACGCATGCGAATATTTTATTTTTGCATGTCAGGAGAGGGGGATTAATCGGAGGCATGTGGAATCGCACAAGGATTAGGAATTGCTTCCCAATAGTGTGCCTGCTGTTGACGTTATGGACGGAGGTAAGGAGGCTCTTGTTTTAATTCAAAAATATTTTTTCTTCTGCTCCCTCACAAATAAAATATTTTTAAAATTACAAATGTCAAAAGTTGGTGGGCGTGGGCAGATGTATTTGCTCTCCGGTGTTGCATATTCGCATCACATTAATCGATAATTGAATTACGTAGCAGTCAGTGGTGCACCATGTTACCATGACAAGATTGAACTCTGAGGAATTGATACAGGCTCCTCTCCATTTTTGTTTATATTATTATATTATATAGAGCCCTGTGCGTTTTTTTAGGAGAATTAGGCCTGAACCAATAAGTTGTAAGTTGCATGGCATCAGGCTGCTGCAGCGGTTAATTTCCCCCCGTCAGAGTAACGTGATTGTCTAAATCCCCAGCATGCAAACTAGGCTGTTCACGTGCTCCCTTCATGATGCAACACATTATTTTGGAATATTAAACCCAATTTGGTTTAACGGTTTTAATTTCCCAGTCAGGCACTTGTTTGGCCACTTGTCCCAATTTTACGCACCAATTTGAGCGATGCTGCCGTGTAGCATGCGAATATATAGGCCAGTGTTTCCCACAGATCTGAAATATACTTGGGCGGGTGGTGGCGGCGGCGGGGGAGGTGGGGGTGCGCGGAGAAAAAAAAAAGTTTTAACAATATGTTTATTTATTGACTTTTCATTCCTGTATAATCATTTTGCGCAAAGATGGCACTGTTTATCAGAGCACTTCATCCTTCTGGGATATCATGAAGAACAGCTCCAACGCCTGTGTGTATGGGAACGCCTCTGGTGCTGGTCCATTAACTAAGGCCTATATTTAAATGTGGTCTTTTTAAAAATGTTGTTTCTAGGTGTCCCAGTCAACCGGCTATTTCGAGCTGCAGCTGATCTCCGTGGAGAATGTAAACGGCGAGTTGGCGGACGGGGAGTGCTGTGATGGCTCCAGGAGCTCCATGGACCTGCGCTGCAGCCGAGACGAGTGCGACACTTACTTCAAGATCTGCCTGAAGGAGTACCAGATGGAGGTCATCACCAGCGGCACGTGCACGTTCGGAGCTGGATCTACGCAAGTTCTCGGTGGAAATATGTTTTCTTTTAAGGGAGCGAAGAATAATCCGAATAAGATCGACGAAGGAGGCAAGATTTTGATCCCTTTCCAGTTCGCCTGGCCGGTGAGTTCTGTTTTCTTGCTGCAATTAAGTGTTTCCTTGAGATGTTCATGTCTTCACCGTTTAAAACGTGGGCAATTTAGTGTTTATTTGTTGCATATGTTTGTACACAAGCCTTGTGGACGTCAAACAATCATGTTAAAATGGATTGGAGCCACTCTGCCATTCAGAATTAATTTAGTTGATCACAGCAGCACTGATATCAAGTTCCCATTCAGAGTTTGTTTCCTGTCATTGCAAAGTAGGTTACATTAATTATTTGGTCTATAACATATCAGAAACGGTGAGAAATACCCATCACAATCTTCTTTTGTTAGACGAGCAGTCCAAAACCCTCAAAAATAATTACATTTAATATCATGTTAAACCAAGAAAAGTAGTAAATTCTGACATTTCATAACCTGCAACCATTGAATTTAAGACTGTTCTTAAAAGGTGACTTATTGATTAGTCGACCAGTCCTTTCAACTCTTTCAGCTCTTCAGTGGGAGGCTTCACAGAAAGATCCTGTTAAAAGTTACACGTCTATCCAAATAACTACAGCTTAATGCATCACATTGATGGCAAATTGACCAATAATCCTTAATGATTTTGTACCCATTGATTCACGTGAATGAAAGACAGACCATATTGAGTGTCATTTGCAGCATCCTGTTCTTATGAGAATTGACACACATCACAGTTAAACGGGGGCATGCTTCTGGAGGATCCTATTGCAGCTACAGTGGTTCACAGTGTCATCTGGGTCATGTTTTAAAGTTGCCCTGATATATGAGGGTTGGCTTTGTTCCAATCCACCGGCTTGCACCTGCCAAGCCCATGATAGGGTAATTAGACTGGGGGAAATGCTTTGATATGTAGACCCTGGAGGGGGACCTCTCTTACATGGAGAAACGGTTATGACAAAGCTGCCTCCTGAAACTTGACATGTTGCTGATTGACGAGGGTGCTTCAATCTTATCATCTGGCAATCCATCAAGCGGAATTTGATTTATTAGGACTTTTCGCTTGGATCCACATGGTTAATCCTGCGACTTCTGTATGATGATTGTGGGAAACCTCAGGGAAAGTAGAAGTTGATTTAAGGTAGAATTGGTTTGTGTTTAGACTTCCATAAGATATCTAACTTTTACTTTAAAGTAAAGGCTACATAAACTATGGAATCACCCCTGGAGTCAGGTGTGACGCAGGAAAATGGCATGTACTGTGTTTGTAGGTGCAGCTCGGTTGTATGTAATGGATGGGTGCCCCAATTAATTCCCTATTATAATGATGAATGAGTGTGAATTATGTTTCAATGCCTCTGGGCAGTGGTTTGGTGATTTCTGCTGGATGGTTTTGACACCTTGTCCCCCCTCTGCACCCCACAGCTTCCTCTCCTGCTGTGGGTGCCAGGTGGCCCCTGGTGGCCCCTCCAGGGCAATTAAGCTGCACTGACTGCAGATGAGTGATAGTTGATGGATTAGGAACACGACTAAGGTGTGCTTCTGATGTCCCAGAGCGCTGAACACACCTTTAGCTGTTTGGTTAAGAGGGAAGCACTCAAAGTTTTTTATCACCTATTCTTGATACCATCGACTTTGAGGGGAAATATTGTTGATTGTTTTGGACAATGTGACGCTATAAAGTAGTGCTTTTAGGAATAAAGCTATTGTTGTGTTACTTCCTGTTTTTGTTCAGGTTTGTAATGCAATGGAGGTCAAAGGAACTAGACTGTAATGGGAATAAAACACCAGACTTGTTCTGTTTTTTATTTGGAAGTAGAGATGAATAGTCCTTTTGATGATGGACAGTACAATTAATGCAACTATTTTGACGATTAATTGGTTATTTTAAGGCAAAGAATAGGTTATAATTTACTTGTTTCGACTATTTTGACGATTAATTGGTTATTTTAAGGCAAAGAATAGGCTATAATTTACTTGTTTCGACTATTTTGACGATTAATTGGTTATTTTAAGGCAAAAAATAGGCTATAATTGACTTGTTTCGGCTATTTTGATGTATTTCTTTTTTTTCAATTTCTTTTTATTATTGGTAACATCACGGTTGGCTTTGGGAAATGTTGGTTATTGACTAAATGTTTCATCAATTATTAGCAGAATAACTAATGGTAAAATATTGCTTTCTTCAGCGCCATCTTAGATTGTTTAATATCAAAAAAGTGAATATTTTCTGTTGACTGTGTCTTCTGTGATTTGGACTGAATATCTCTTGGGTATTTGATGATAGGTTAGATAAAACAAACCAATTAATTAATCTAAAAAACACATCAGTTGCATGCAGCCCTTTTTTAAAAGAGAAATCCCTTACACTTGATTTCCATAATTGGTAGTTCCAAATAATCAGCAGCACTTTCTCCTGACAGCTCGGCTGGTTTTTGTCGTCTTTTGTGTTGAAGGCATCACACGTTTGATCCAGGGTTGGTCTTTGTGAATTTAATTATTTCAGGGTTTCCTGCAGCTGTTTATAGCAAAGGCGGTCCCCCTTTTAGTGAATTAACAGCCGCCTTTGTTAACGTTTTTAAGCTTCAGGGGAAAATGGCAAAGGTGTGATTTCACACAGTAAAAGCCATATACTTAATAGACCATCAGGAGGGAAGGTGGGTTATGGGCGGCATTTACCCCCAAGGCTAAGCAAGGTGCCACAGCTATATGTTAATATATCTTACATGCCTGCATCACACAGAACACGAAGCAGTGCTATTCCTTTATTGGACTCATTGACTGACACCTGGAGGCAGAGGTGAAGAGGGCTATTCTGGTGTGTTGTCTTTCTGTTAAGTGGCCCTGGCTGATAACGTGCACTATTCCAGTGCCAGATGTCACAGCAACTCTGCAGGGTCACTTGCTCTGGCGTTGTCGTTCTTCTGACTGTAGAAACAAAGATGTAGTGTATTATTGGCTGTGTCATCGGGACAAATGCCAACTTCAAGCCCCGATGGGAACCAATGAGGGGTGGACTATGCTGTCACACTGAGATCTAGCAAATTAAATGTGAAAAGTGCAGGTTTCTTTGAACTGTTTGCTCCAAATTCAGAAATATTACGTCTTTTATAACTCCTTAAAATCTGTGGATAGAATCAAGCTGCATGGTTTGAATATCTTTCTTACAAATCAGTACATTTCAAATGGACGTTTTTATATTCGGAGTTGTGACAATACCCCTTTGATGCCCTTAATTGTCTAAATAGGCACTTAAAAAAATTCTCAAAGAGCCCTTTGTATCTTTCAGTGGAGTCTCATGCAACACAGTGAAAATCATCCTGTATCTCTAGGAAATGTTCCTTCTTCCTCTTTTAACGCATGGAGACATAATAGGCTCTTGTCTTATTGGCCAACTTATCACCACACCATTGTGATGCAGTCGCTAATGGCAGATTTGACTCGGATTGCACAATGCTTATCCATTCCTTGGAAGTCTTCCAGTGATTCTCCAGCTCTGTCTCGTCCTGCCAGCATGCCAGTAGAGACTGACTATTGATGCTGCTGCCACCTCTGAGCTCATCCTACACTCAGTGCTTCCCCACAGGCTTGCATTTACAGTAAATGCACATTGCTTCTCCTTTCTCTTCTGATTTTTTTTATTTATATAGGTGTCATTGATAATATAAGCAAACGTTTTGAAGCTGAGGACGTTTTATAGGAAAGACTCATGTCATGTGGCAATTCTATGGACTTAAAATAATATAATTGAACTTTTAGAGTTTGTATAGCAAAACTTGCATTTTGAAGTAGCTTACAGACCAGAAGGAGAATATAGTTAGCCTAGCCTAGCAGTGATGCTAAACATTGACACAGTGGTGCTTTTAGCTAAATGCTAACATGCTCACAAAGACATGGCTGACATAATGACGCATGTTCCCCATCTTGCTGTAGCATGTTAGCATGCTAATTTTACACTACAGATGAGGCTGAGAAGCCCATAAGCACCTTTTTCTAAGCTCCCAAATAAAAATGTATGTGTTTGTGCTCCCTCCACATACATATAACAATTATAATTTGTGGTTTTTACATTTAGCTGAGTAATGAAACTTGCACTTGTTGCCTGGCAACATTGCTGTGACAACACGACTCCTGGCAGTTGCTGCGCCTGGCTTTTCATTTCCTAAAACCACAAATAGTTTTTAGAAGAAACAGATAAAGTATATTGAGTTTTATAGTTGTATTTTTTGACTTTATAAAATCATGCTAGCTGTTTCCCTCCATTTCCTGTCTTTATGCTAAGCTAGGATAATCCCTTCCTGTGTCCAGCTCTGCAGTTTATGTAAACAAAACTATACCAATATTAATATGACATGTAAAGTGTATTTCCTAAAATATTTAAAGTGGACCTATCATGCTATATTTGAAACATATATTGTAGGGCCATACCTATATAAAACATGTCTGTGAAGTCTTTTTTTTCAACATACCAAACAGATCATGCATTTTAGCCATGCCTCATTTCGCTCTATTTGCTGTATTCCAGCCCTGTTTTTGCAAGGGCTGATGCTGTGGCAAATGAGCTGCAGCCCCCTCCTTTGCAGGGGGGTAAAAGGCACGAGTGTCATGTTACCATGCTGTTACCATGCCACGCAACCTCTCATTCCCCTGATAGGTGGAGAGTTGCCCATATAGGCGGAGCTCCTTGTTTCTGACGTCAGAGATATTTCAAATCTGGATCAGTCTGTATCAGATCCGTTGCAGCCCCGTTTTTAGAGATTTGGGTATGGAGGAAAAGAGACAGGGTTGTGTTTTCTGACACTTGGTGAGTTCCCTGACACACCGGGGACACATATTCATGTATAAAAGACGTACAAAAGTGCATTTTGCATGATATGTCCCCTTTAAGCTTTTATTTTACGAGTCAGCACTCTAGCATGTGGATCATCCTCTAGCTCTTTGGCCTTTCTGATTGAGTTTCCATGTTGATGACCCGTGCTGTGTGAGCACTTCAGGAGAGAGATGGAGGGAGAGAGACACCACGTCTTACTTCCATTTGATCACTAATGAAATTGCCGG